ATAATGTTGTAGGCAGATCACGATCTCCTACTTTAGAAGATTATTCATCACTCATTCTGATGGAATCGTTTCTTGCGGAAGTAATTAATGATTGGGATTAGTTATACTATAACCATTAAAATTCTGTAGTTTTTATTATCGTATAAATATGATTCTTTTTTCATTTTTTTTATTGCATAAACAGAGTGTTACATTAGGTATAGAGATTTTTTATCTTGGCGCCACTTCCAAGATCAAAAATCTCTCACAGGGCTATGAAAGACGTAACTTTGAACGGGTATAATATACCTAAAGTAAGTACTGCAAATATAAGTATCCAGTAAAGACATTGGTTCATACATTTTTATAATTTTAGGATATTTTAGGATATAATTTTAGGATATAATTCTTTTGGATTTAATTCTAGGATATAATTTTAGGATATAATTCTTTTGGATTTTCATAGTGTGTTAAACGATGCAGCTTACTGGGATCATCCAGAAAAATTTCAACCTCGACGATTTTTCGATGCAAATAGTCGATTCTGCCAAAATAATGCCAACATACCATTTGGCTTAGGTCAGTTCTTGTACACAAATCTTTTTTTACTATAAACTAGGATTTATACAAGCTACATATCTTACATCAGAACTAGTATGTATTCCATCGCGATAAATTTAATTCAGCTCTTTAGTATGTATCATTATATATATATCTATATACATATACGTGCACACAGTTGATTAATTCAGAAATTCATCAGATAAAATCAAATCTTTTTTAACTTTTAGTTCCCCTTGCTAATCAGATGATTATTTAAATAGAAATTCAATGCATAATATTCTAAATGTAAATATTTGAAGTTTTTGCATATTTTGAGATGAAATGTTCTTGAATTAACGGTGATGTTTTGCCTTTTAGGTAAAAGATGTTGTCCGGGTGAAATGCTGGCCCGAACATCCTTATTTTTATTCTTCGCCTACGTTATACACTTACTTCGACAGTGAAGTTTTATCGGAGCACGGCGAGCCGGATCCAAATGGACACGATGGTTTCACTATATATCAGCAAAACCTTATTATCTAAAGCTTACGGCAAGATCTGATATTATAAACTGCAGTGCAACGTAAGTATTATAGTAAAGTTTTAAGCGTAATGCGTTATTTATATTTTAAATGCAAACATAAGAACAGAAGAAAATTATGTAACTGACTAATTATGAGTAGTTTCTCCAGTGTTTCCAAGAATAAATTGCTGTTCTGTACGTGATAATTAAAATATTATGTCCTTAGACGTATTCCCTAGACGAATTCAAAATAACTAATTAAGCACTAGAGTCGACAAACATGTATATTTAATAAAAAAATATTCGTATTGAAAATTTTCTATTTATCAAGTAATAGCCGATAGTTAATAGTGTTATAAATATCGATTGACATTTTTGCAGATTTTGTAATCAATGTTAAAAGGAAGAGTTCAAAATCCATATTATTCGATCATTGAGTTATTTGTTATTTATTATTATTTATATATTTATTATTTGATCATTATTATCAATTAATCATTTATTCACTTATTTAATTATTAGATTACACAGATTTTTTTATGTACATATATGTGATATATACATATACACGTATACGTGTGAGTATATTACTGTGGTGAATTTTTCTGTGGTGAATAAGAATTTCTAAGAATAATTAATACGAAAATAGACAGTCTCATTGAAGAAACAATAAAAGCTCTAATTTAAACCAGTTGAGTGACTTGGTTCATAGTTAAGCCAACTAAAGTAGAATATACTTCCGCACGATTTTATTCATTGTTAATAGCTCTATTCTTCCATTTCATTCATCTTAATTCGGCTTAATTCTTAAATTAATAATTTAAAATTTCAATAAATAATTGGAAAAACTTATATATGATTAATAATGATAACATTTATTTTCATTAACATTAAGTGCTAATTATTATGCTCAGTATGAAATTAGGAAGGTAAAATTTTTAACTAATATCTGCGGTAAAAGCGCGTCAATATTACTCGAAAAATAAGCAAAAAAAAGAAAATACTGATTTGATCGACAATGATCAGACTGATTCTAGTGAATGTGACCGAGTAACGTGACTTGATATATCTAATAGAAAATAACTCTATTTACCTGGTGGAACTTTTCTTATATTTTGTTTGACTATTAAGTAAATAATTAATATCAGTGTCACTATTACTCATAACACAGTAGCAAACATTTTGGCTTCGTCTCGTCCATGTGAATTTACAAGCGATCAATGAAAACTAAAATTGGTTCTACCGTGGACGATTGACCGATTGATCGAAATTCTCTTTCCTCAACTAATATGTCAATTCTCACGTTTCAATTCCGGCGTTTTATATGGAACCACCGATAAAGCGAGTTCTCCCCGATAGGCATGAATACTGCTAAGCGATAATTAGTTTCTTGCTTATATACATTAAAAGTAAAGAAACTTCCAGTTGGCGATACTTCAGTAAAGGAGAGTTAGACAAATTTGAATAGTGCATGTCCCGTATCAGTTTCTTTATTGTTTCTAATTATATTTGACGTCACTATTCTAATTCTTTCATGGTCGAATATTGCGATAAATAAGTCACATTAAAATAATCTTTTTGAGTATGAGTTCTTTGAAATTGTTAAAAATTTATGATATTCTTATAACAATAAATTAAATTTGACCTGAAATAAATTTAATAAATAGCTTTTAGGTACTTCGATAACATTCAATGATTATTTAAATTACATATGACTTAAAATGATCAAATTTATACTATTTTATACACAAACATGTAAAGTAATATATTTGTAATATAAGTAAAAAAGTTTAGTATAAAAAGAAAAATATTACATAGAAATAATAATATTAATATAAATTATATATAAATAATATAAGATAAATTGCCTTTTATCTTACAATAAATATTCATTGAGAAATAAGATATACATAAGATATACATAAAATTATTGTCATAAAATATTGCATATTAGTTATGTACGTCATATTTGCAATTATTAAAAATACTTAACATTTTCTTAACAGAATTTTATTTTATTTTTAAATAATTCACATAATATTGAAATCGATTTCTTTCTTCACGTTTGTTTGGTCTCTTCTTTCCTCTCGCTGTGTCTATTTCTCTTTCTTTAGCTTCTTTTTTTCTCTGCTGCCTTGTAATTTTACGTCTGGCGGCTAATTCTGGATTCGTTACGAACTGTAGCAAAAACAAAATTTTGGTATTTAATAATTTACTTATTTATCTTATAGAAAAGTTAAAAATATAGAAAAAAAACTATACCTGTTCCGTACATATCTTTCTTCTTTCCGCTTTTTTAATATCCAAATTCTGTTGTATTCGACTTAATAATCTCGTGTTACGTAATAATTCTTCGTTACGTAAATGTTTTTTCAATCATCACAACCGCTTCTTTAGCTAACCGTCTTAAAAGTGGTATTCTTTTCTTCTGTAGCAGATATTTCACGCACAATTGGTGACATGATATTAACAAATACTACATTTAAATACTCCATAGGTATCGTAGCCAGTATACCTGCAACTCATTTAAAGAAAGCAGATCGCTGAAAAAAGGAATATAACTTATAACTTATAATCTAGTTAAGTATTTAACATTATAAGAATGATATAAAGATAACAATAGATACCACCACGTTATTGACCTAGGTCAATCCTAGCTTGAGCTATTTCTATATTTACAGACTTTCTCAATTTCCTAACAAGCCTAACAAGAAGAGACGTCATTTTCTTATCTTTATCTTCCGTTTCATTGTTTCGATCCATGGCAGTTGTGTTAATCTGTTTTACAGATTTCAAAATTCTTGCGATGAAAATTAAATTTTTTAATAGTCTGATCAGCTAATTCCTCTAACGTCATATCAGGCTGCAGTTGTGCAATTAAATCTACAGTTTTTATAATGGCAGTAGAATCAGAGTACATGTAACTTGTTTCTGCTTCACACTTTTCGTTTTTGCTATGTGTTTTTGCAGATGTTTTCCAAGTA